TATTAATAATAGTACCTAAGTATAACGTACACAAACTTCAAATATATCATATTCATTATTTCAATAATTAAAACTTCTACTTTGTATTATTTTCAGAATTTGATATAAAATAATATAACTCATCTAATTTATCTGATTAGTTTATTTACATCATATCTTAATAATATTTCTTTTTCTGAATAAATTTAAAAATATTCTTAAATCTAATAACAAATGAATAATTTCATTTCACATAAATATTGTTGTGGGGTATAATACATAAGCCCTAAAATTAATAATGAACGTCACTAAAGAAATTAGCATTTTTTATATTATTATGAATTATGTAATTTAAATCTAAATTGATTGAAAATAAAAAAAGGTAATTAAATGTTCAAATATATTTTTAATAACCTGTTTAATGAAGCTATTTTAAATAATATTGGAAATATAATATAAAAACAATATTCACATGTAACGTTTTTAAAATTACATTATCACATTTTCCAACCAAAAGTTAGCTCTACAACTATACATTACTCATATCAAAGTTCAAAAGTTATTTTCCCGTTTTGAAACTAGTATAAAAATGTTTGGCATATTTCATATTTTTACTAATACAAAATTAAAAGAAATGTATTGAACACAAAAACTACAGCTTAATAACATTTTTATTTATTTACAAACTAAGTCAACACTCTTGACACTTGTTACAAAATTAAAAATTGTACTTTTAAATTAATTAAATTTAATAAAAAGAAAAATGTTTGTCTCAGGTTGTTCGGAAAAAAAGTTTGTTTTAACTTAAATGTACCTATCTATGTTAAATTAAACTTTGTGATATTTATTTTTAAAAATGAACTTTAAATTAAAAATGTCACTGTACTAAAATACTGAATGAATAAGTGTCTACATAGTACAAAAATAGAATATTTTGAATTCGCGATATGTATTTCATCCAATGGCAATGCTGGTTCTATGGTAAAGTTTATTGTCATTTTTATAAAAAAATTGTATTTATAATTCACCGGTTTTCATGCAGTTACTCGCACCTCAAGATAGTTCAATATATCAAATATTATTTCGAATGTCAATTTCTTACTGTCTAAAATTAAATTCTAAATATTTTAATAAATATTTTATTTCATTATTTCTTAAATCACAATCCATAACTGTATTCTTCAAATCTATTTTCTGTAAAAAATTTTAATTTTAATTTTAATTTTACGCTTAACAAGATTTTAGGTGGCCCCATCTATTTTTCATTTTTAAATATTTTTGTATGCATTTGAACTTAAACTATCATTTATTACTTTTCGTATTATTTCAAATGAACTATTTTATAAGTAAAAAAATAAATGGGATATTATAGAATTTATTTTGCACACAAAAATTTTTTTTTAAGCTATACAAATTTATATTTTAAAACCTAATTTAAAATTTTTAAACTCATAGAATCACAATAATATAATATTACAAATTGAAATATTGAAAAATCATAAAATATAATAAATTCTCTTATGGTTTGAAAAATACTGAGGATCTTCAAAATCCAATTAAATAGTATTATTTTAAGCTACCGTGACTGTGCTGTATTACTATTTAGTAAATATGTCTAAATTATAGATAAGTATGTTGTTTTCGGTGTAATGCAAGTGATGTATCAATACTACAATGATAACGAAACACACAAGTACCTAAACTATAGATGTTAGAGGTTGTAAAAATGTCTTAACAGTGATTATGACCAAGGCCTCATACCTGCAAGGGTGTCATATCCCTCCTTTGGCTTTTATTTTTGTCATATAAAATACACGATAAAGCAATTGATGTATTCATAACGTGATTTGAGAACAGTCAACAATTCATATTCAACCCTTTCAAAAAAGCTGAGCACACAACTGAGTATGGCATTAATAATCTTTTCAAAAAAAAAAAAAATATATCAAATCAGAAGTATTTATGTGGTGGTTACAACAATACATTATGATATTCAAGACATTATTTAAAACCTAAAAGAACTCAATACCGAATGACTGGCGACATCTAATATTATAATATTATCGTAAACGTGGCCATGTGGTTCTTGTACTGGTAAAACTATTAGTACGAATAATCTACGTGGCACGATATCGACTATGATGTGCGCGTACCTATAATAAATAATAATATGCTGAAATACTTGAAATCACTCTCCGATAGTATAGATATGATAAATCAAAATTTGTGACATTGTAACACGAATGAATGATGATCTCGAGTACATACTCAGTATTACAGGGACAATAGAATTCATGTCAAGTTAATGGATAAACGGGTATACAAGAAACAAAATCAAAGCGGGAAATACGCGTCATAATTCATATTATTATATCGAACTCGACGTAAACTAGTTGAGATCTATAAAACACGACGTTGTGCTGTAATTTCATCGAACAACCAATTTAGTTGTTTTTTAAGAAAACTTAAGGAACATACCACGTATACTACACAATAAGTGACAAGATATAATAATATAATATCCATATCAATTATTTGCGACGGCAGACAAATAAACAATCATGAAAGACTGTCATCATATAATTATTTGATGTGACACAGCGTCGTTACCGTCGGCGAGTTATGAAAGACAACGAAGAGTTGGAAATTATATTATATTATAGTGCGGAACACCATCGAAGGGTATATTCACCGTAGTCATATTTTAATAATACTCTTCAATTTACATGTATATCGATTTACTCATACAGCTAGTATCATTCTTATATATATGAAATAGTGACATCGATATGCGGACGGTATCTTTTAGCCATTTGAGTATTTCCTATTACCGTGTTTTTTTTTAGGACATATCCATTGCAATTTTAATTAGTGCAATTGCTAACGGTACCCTAGCTGTGTGTTTTAAGGTTCGTCGGACATTTTAAAAAGTAATTTAATACAATCTGAAGTGAATATAGCTCCAATGTGGCCGATGAAGCATATCGGTTGAAACATCAAACATTATAGGTACACATAGGATACTAAATTAATTGTTTAATTTAATTGTATTTTATAGTTATAACAATTTATCAGTCCAAAATTTTGAATGTTACACATCACATCAAATATTTTACGAAGTTGTTATTATTTGTTTAATTTAATTTCACAAAATGCAATATCAATAATTTTATTTGAAAAAAAAATTGTCAACAATAATATTATAGATAGGAACATCATGTTACATTGAAATAATTCCAATATACAAACATACGCATAACATTTCAAAACATTTCAAAACATTTTATGCACCAAAGTTCATAAATCCTACAAATACCCTTCAAATTTGATTTTGGCTGAAAAAATAATAGTTGAAACTTTAAAGTCATTATTCCCCTATCACTGACCGTAAGTTCTCGTCGAACTAAAAACAACACCATGATATATTATACAGACTGTCAGTCATGGACACAGAAAAGTCTTGTCGAATTAAAGTTAATTTTTAGGTTTTAACTCGTTTAAGTAGAAAAAATGTGTCTTTTGTTCCAATAGACGCAACAAATCTGTAGTATACATGCGCTATAACTAATAACAGCGAGTGGTCTAAGTGTAGAGACGCTACTTTATTTGTAGCGATTAATTATATGTAACGTCGTTAAAATACACCTATTATAGTAGCTAGGCGTTTTCAGTTAGCGTAGCGAAAATTACAATTGTTTTGTCACTACCTTCGACCTAGGATAGCTATTATATTTATTAATTTATATTATATAATAATCATGAGTGAACCTATTAGTGAATTTTTTGGTTTTAATAAACGATTCACTCACGCAGTTAAATCTCATCCAGTGACCAGATGCCAAATCAGTACAAACTAAAGTCTACCAATTTTAAATTTAAACATTACAAATATGTAGGGTAAAAGTAGCACACCACATTCAAACGATGGCGTAAGAAGCAGCTCACTACATTAAAAAAAAAATAGCAATAGCGATAGAGATCTACTTTTTGAGGAGAGTAGCTGTAGTGTCCCGACCACTGACCAATGCACTTCCGTAATGAACCTACATTATATAGCTCATCGTATAGAGTGGTACCACTACCAGGGTGAAGGATTCCTGAGTCTGGCCCTTCCCCTGGTTGAGCCTTTTTTGAGTATTCGACTCAATAAGTGATAAATCTAATTCGGTATTGATACACATTTTAATAATAGTTATATTTAAGTCTAAAATGTATGGAACTAGCCAATAGCTATACAAAAAAAAAACAAAGAACTCGCCACTCTGATGTATAATAATTATATATAGGTTTCGAGTGTTTTTCGCCATTGTAATGAATTTGTTAAATTTGAATTCAATGATCAATCATTGTACCTATTATACGAAAAACGATTCTAAGATGATGTTGTAACCTCTATTCATTAGTGTATTCACTATAACATATTCATATTAGGTACTACTATAGTAATTTATTTTCTATTGTAGTTTATATCAAAATAAAATTAGTTGACCATTTCAGATGTAGGTATACTTAACAAAAAAAAAAAAAAACGACATTTTTAAATCTGTATCACGTCTAAAAATGAATGCTTGTATAATCATATTTTGGTAAATATCCTTAGTCCCTAAAGTCCACTCTAAACATTAACAAAACTACAAAATCGATTTTGTTGAAAACTGCAGGTGTTGCGTAAATACTCTCGTATTCCCACTGTCCTTTACTGATTATTAAGAAAAGTACTGGGAATTCCATACTTTCAACACCCCCCCCCCTCTTCGCCCAAAATTTACCTCAACACGATGGGGTTTCTACAAAATACCTCACCATAAATGCCAAACATGAAAAATAACATATCAGAAACCGAACATGATTTTTATCGTTGCAAAAACAACCATGCTTACGTTCGTCGCTTCGCCCATGATAACTGTGGCATGTAAATAATTTAGAGAGTGGAAACGAAAAAAATGTATAGACACAGTGGTCGTGATGTCCCGAGTTCAACATAATGCATTATAGTATCTTAAATCGAGGTGTATGTATACCTTGAATTCGTGGGTATTGGGGTCCATGTCGAGCAGCGAATAGTCGGCGATCCGGTCGCCGTTCGCGTCGATATTGACGTCGCCCGTGATGCCGGTAAACGTCTTGTTCCACATGGCCTTGACGATGGCCGTCCCGTCAGACTGGTTACCGCCCCTGGCAAGTGTCTCGTTGAGAGCCAGCCCATACAGCAACACCGCGTCGTAGAAAGCCGTCACGAACGTAGACACGGACTCGTTGCCAAACGTGTAGTTGTATTTTTCCTCGGCTACGCGTTTCACCTGAAAACGACATTAGGTTCTGTTTAGAAATCATAGTCATTGTTTTTTGATAAATATCTATAGTTTCCCGCAAAAGTCCAATAGTACATTATATCAGCGGTTCCCAAACTGTGGGGCACGAACCACGTAGTAAATATTGACATTTTTTAATCAACGATAATTTTTTTGAAACGTCTTAACTGTTCAAAAAAAAATATTTCACTATGTCAGTATTACTTTAAGTCACGTTATTCAATAATATACTTGATTTGGGAATATCCGTAATAGTTATTTATTTATGAGAGGTGCAATTTATTTTTTTCATTTTTAGAGTGGCGTGAACTAAAAAGTTTGGGAACCACTGCATTTTATTATTATATCATTACTACATATAGCATAGGTACTAAATAGATAAGTATTGCGTCGAAATCACGTCGAGTCCCTTCGATGCGACTTTAATTCGTTTAAAAAATAATAACAATTAAAAGTACGTCTTATCGATGGATAGCCTCATTTTAACAGTTAATAATATTATACTACATTGTTATAATAGTATGCAACAGGGGAAAAGTATAAGAATGTGAATTGAATACGTTAGGTATGTGTGAAATTTTTTGGTGTCGTATTATAAATTGAAAGATCCGAGTCTTCTCCGAATATTATACTATATTATTCCCATGCAACTTCAATAAGTATAAGATTATTGAGATTATTATAATAATGGCATGATGTTATCTTTCAAGCCAACATAGCATGCTTGTGAACGTAGTATTGTATTCACAGAATTTAAATAGGTATTTACTAATTAAACTCGTACAAACGTGAGTTAATAATAATTATTGATGCACATCGTTTTCAAATTCTAAACCAATCGTTTTGAGTTGGCAAGCTGGTAATCAATTAATATTATGCATTAAATTTTGCTATCTATTGTGATTTTGTTTGTTCATTCGTCTCTTGCTTAAGCGAATCCTCCACATCAGTCATATTGTATTATAATATTGCTTTCATAATTTCGAAAAAAAAAAATTTATTCATACTTTGTAGTCATCTTTTTGTTTGCATATGACCGATGTAATCAGTTGTCGAGTTAAATAAATTGAATGAAATATGTCAAAAATGAATAATAAGTTGAACATGTACAATGTGGAATACTAAAAGATTCCTCTGAATAAAGTCAGTATAATATGAAGTAATCCCAAATACTGCTCACAAGATAAATCTAAACCAAATGGCATTAGGTACAAAAAGTAAGGACCTCGAAGTACTTACAATTAACATGGCTTGTTAGACGGAAATCCCAGATACATATGCTGTATACCAACTATACTGACTGGGTAGGTACTATTACTACAGATGGCACTTTTTTTCATCTTTTCAAAGTGTTTTAGATAATGACAACCACTTAGCACTAACATTGGTTTACAGGCGAACAATTATTATTTGTCTATTATTTTCACTAATATGTTTTTCGGGAGTTTATCATTGGAATATGACATTTTATGATAACGTTTATAATTGCATCATAGATATAATTATACATACCAATAATTGAGCTATTATTATAGGTACGTATTTTACAAAAATTCAATAAGTTTTTAATCATCAGTCATGCGTTAAAACAAAACAAATAACGTAAAAAAAAACGTATATGTATACCACAATTGTATAAAACGCATGTAAAAAGAAATATTGATTTTTTTGGTGTTGCACATTTGTATAACATGTCACAGACAATTTATACGAAGGTTAGGTTCGCAATGTGTGTGTGTGTGTGTGTGTGTGTGTGTGTGTGTGTGTCCTCGCTGAAGTACGACATGAATTACAGATCGGCAAAAATCTACGGAGAATGTCCTAGCCATGTCCAAAGTTTAACTAACAATTAATATATTATTATGTATGGAATAAGAAGAAAAAATTACGTTTACGTTTAATCTAAAACGCATGTGGGTACACAGAGACTTAGTAAAAGGACATCATAATGAATAAGGGTCGAAAAATAAATAAAACCGGAGCTATTCTCACATTCAACACCTAAGTTTAAGCATAAAATACGAATTCGAGAGCATTTACACGTGGACGCCGAGCAGGTATTAATATTATACTGCTGTATGAGAATTAGTTCATTCGGAATAAACACACCGTTGATAACCCTTTGCCGCCTAGTAATTTGAATTACATAATAATTTGTTTAATGTTGCAATATATTATAAAGGTAGGTTTACATTTTTTTTTAAATTCTAATTACTCCTTAAATATTTATATAATAAATTATTCATTTCATCTTTTTACCATTATAGTTATTTTAGCTTAATTTAAGACAATATTATGACACATATTTTATTTCTTCCCATCTTCCGGAAATGCAAATCATATTCAACTCTCGTCATTCTTCACTGAGTTGTATGATAATATTATGAATGTATAAAAAGTGCTCTTGATGTAGGTAACAAAATAATAATAAAAAATATTAAAAAATAGGTTTCTCGCAGTAAAAACGATTACATTTACAAAATAATGATGAAAGAAACTTATGAAACCCCGGAAAATTAACAGAACATATAATTAAGCATAGACAGAAAACAACGAATAATAAATGGAATAAAAATATTAAATTTTTGTTTAATAATATTAAGGTAGTACCTAAGTATATAACTTACTTTTTAAGAGAAAAATTAATACATTTACTGTTTCAGTAATAAAATATGACAATCATATTTAAATTTTTATATTTTATTAAGGTAATGTGTGTGGATAATTATTTAATTCCGGAAATATTCATTTTTTAATTACTAAGATTATTTTTTAATAAATTATTTATGTAAATTATATTTGAATAAAATGTATAGTGTATACCTACCTACATTTTAATTTAATTAATGTTTCACAATCCGCTATTGTAGGTATTGGATTTTTCATTTACAAATTCAATTTTGCCTAAAGATATGTTGTCAAGTGGTGATCCAAACTTATTTTTTTCAAACGATAACCAAACCTTTACTGTAAATTGTTAAGTAGATGATTTTTGAAATATTTGTGTTCAAAATAAATAAAATTCAAATGATTAGATTCTGTGTTATTAAAATGTATTTTATACTAAAGCATAAAGAGGTGTATAGTGTATACAGTAAACATATGTCACATTTAATCTAGTATTTATTATATTAAGACAATTCTTACAAATTATAAAATTATGATATAGTAATATAATATTATTATCAATACTAATAAGATGGTATAATTTTCAAATTATCAAAACCCCATATTTTTAAACACTATTTTCGGGTTCTATTATCCTTAGTGAACAGAATTTATTAATCGAGATATTACTTGTTCAATTTTTGATTAATTTACATTAACTTATAAAGTTACATGATGTAACAGAAATAATCAGCTTAACAATTTTGTAGTTATACAAATTCGTTCTCATTTTAAATATAACATAAACCAAGTTTGTATCATAGGACACTCTTTGATTGGCATAACAAATTAAATTAAATAATGGACTCATGATTGAAATATAACTAACGTTTTAGAAAATCAGAATCTAAATAAATTCAATGATTAAGAAAAAATTATGGCTGGCTTACCTAATGAATCACCCTGTATATAATATTATTATGATAATGTTCGAATTATTATGAATATTTTTGATATTTCGGATGAAATATACGACCGTTGTTTTGGGTCACATAAGTCATTTTGCAAAACAAAACGCACGTCTAACCTAATGCACATGACCTAACAGAGCCACCGCACAGAGAATTGTTGCGATAAGGTAAACTGATCGATTTATTGCCGACCCAAATATATAAATATGTATATTAACAACTATGTGTTTTGAACTTAAAATAAAAATAATGCGAAAAATCCATCACGTATCAAAATATATAATGTCGGTGGAAAAAATTGAAATTATTTTTTTTTTTTTAACTTACCTCGACGGAAAAGTTGCGATATGCTTCGTTGTCGGGCTCACGTGCCGTCACCGTTAGAAGTGCGCTGTACGCCTTTTTTGCCCGCTCGTTCCGCTCCGCTGTGTCGTTGCCCACGTACCACGGCGTTAAGGATCCGTTGTTCAGGCTGCGGAGAGGGCACACAAAAATTAACAAAAAAATAAATAATAAAAACACAACAAACATTTTACACAAATATACGCCGCGGAGATGGTCTCTTGGCTTTTACGCTGAGTGATAAAAATGCCATTATTGAAGTGGCTTAACACGGGGACTTTGCAGCCAGACGCACATCCGCGACAACTATAAACCATTACGACCACTCTTAATAAACCTTATAGATATATAAATACACACACAATATGACGTATATATATAACGTAAGTTACGTATATATAAATATATATCAAAGCGTTGTGTTGCAGGAAACGAGGACCAGCTGGCTGTAACCCGTATCAAAAACGGCACCTTCGTCCTCTCGACGAGACAATTTTCGCAACGACTTCTTTCCTACACTATACCACACTGTACTATATAATGTATGTCTATAATATTATAGCAATGTATATTAATATATTATATGTTTAAAGTGTTCATATTTTCGTAGGTTTTCGTTGTATTATCATATAATATTGTACACTGTGCAACCTTTCACAAGTAAACTTCAATAGATTATTATGTTAAATGTAAATTATTAATTATACCATTGTAACAAAGTTAATTTTGTAATTATTTTACATTTTCCTGAAAAGCACCGTGCAAAATATAACTGAATTTAAGTTATGATATGATTTTAAAATAAAATAAAATCTTGTACGGACAAAGTAGGTATTACCAGCTACTGAGTATTTTACGTCGTAAAAAAATGCTACACATTTGATAGTTAGAAATGAAGCTGAAACCAAAATACCGAAATTCATGGAAATTATTATAACTAGTGATGAGCATCGTTTATTTTCCAAGAATTATATTTTAAGTTCATAGCATAAACGCGACGATGAAATAACAACAACTGAAGTGACTACAGATGAAATTTAATTTAAGAAAATGTGAAAAAAAAATAGTTTGTCAAAAATCCAATGTCATAGTCCATAGACTCGAGTTACATTGATCTATAATATATTTTTCCCCGCATACTCGCATACACAAAACATACATATATTATTAAATTGAAACGGAAAAAAAGACGCTTTGACATTACATTATATACTTTAGGGAAAACTCGTGGGATGTTCATTTTAGGGTGGTAATGCAAGCTGCTTTAAAGTAATACGATAAAGCCTCTTTCGTCTTTCGAAAACTGTAACGTACGACGTGTGAAATATCAATACGAAACTCCCGATAAAAAAAAAATGAAAATCCTGTAAATGTCGGTTTAAAGAACTCCAAGAATGATATATTTTTATAACGTGTTTAGAAGTATTTTTCCAACTATTAGAAAAGAAATGTACCTCGTTCAGAGAATTTTTATAAAACAAATTAATTTACATAAACTGTATATTATTACATATTACAATATGAACTGTAAAAAAAATTCAGTAATGCTTTTCCTTCTTTGAATCTATTAATATTAAATACAGTTTTCAAAATATTATGTAACTAATAGTAAAATTAAATATTAATAAATTAACTCGGCTTTTTTTAATACATTCATAAGAACTATGAAAAATGCATAGTTAGTTACAAGGCTGCAAGTACATTTTGTGAAAAATTTTATTCTTAGTACAAATATCTAAAAAATGAAACGATATCGTCTATATTAATGCCATAATATTTTAAATTTGTGAGATGTTTGTTTGAAAATTGAACACAAGTAAAAATAATTTGTTTGGTTTAGGAGACCATCTCAAGGTTAATGACTTCATAAAATAAAATAACCAATTGAGTGTTTTATCACCATACGCTGAGAAAAATATTTTTACGTCATTAAGCATATATTATGGGTACATACTAAACAAGACTTGAAAACTAGCTAAGATGCGACGTTTGAAAATATTATCGAGACTCAAATTTAAGTATCTACATATTTTTTTAAGTTATGCCAACATAATTAAAATATTTGTATCATTGAATGAGTGACTAGTACTATTTATCTATAATTGTTTGTGTTTTAAATAATTATATTGTCATCAAATACTCGATGTATTTGCTATGTCAGTTTATTTTGAATTATTATAACGATAACGAAATAACGAAAGATTTTAGAATCGACAAAGCTGGGTGCGGCTTAAATAATAATATAATAACGGAGGAAACGACTGTCCCACAAACAATCTATACAAATAAAAAGACGCAAAGGCACATAACGGTAATACTAAAAAAGTATAGAATTTTTTTTCCTGTTTGTGCGACCAAATTAGCTTAATTGGAATGGTCTACGTATTATTCGGAATCGCATGATAAAATATACATCGACTGCGGGCTGTAGAGTTTTAATGAGATTTTTGTTATTCACATTTTTGGCCAATATATCTTTAGGCAGGCACTCACAACAGTACGTCCTAGTATGCACATGAGCTTAAATTATTGTTTCGCCGTGTTTTTAAGCCCCCGACCGACGCACGACGGTCAAAGTTAAAATGTGGGTCCCGATTATTTCACTCTTTTTTTGCCCCCAGTAATCCGATGGACCCGCTGTCACGTGTTTGAAAGAATAAAAATAAAACATTTGAGTGAGAAAGAAAAGGGAGCAAAAAATAAAAATAAAATAGTGAGAAAGGTTTTGCGCCATCAACGTCCTTAATACAAACGTCGTATTCGTATCAAAATACATAACCAACATCCCAATAATATAGTGGGGGCTTTTTTTACACTATTAAATATAAGTAAATAATAAAATATTTTTTTCGGCATTAATTTTTTTAATTATATCTTAATTATTTCTACTACAAATAATTTACCCATGGTGTAAACAGATGTGACAATTAAAAATGTATGTGATCTAAATATATTGAACTGCTTATAATATTATTTGAACACTAAAAATCTGAGAAAATTATAAACGACACTTGGATTCAGTATAAATTACAATAAACTGTTTGTGAAAACAATTTTACATGGACATATGTTTAACGATGAACAAAATATTAAATAGTTATTTTATAGTTTTATATTACAAAGACTAAAAGCATTATGAATTATTGCTCTGGTCTATGTATATTTTTTTGTGTGCCCGGAGCGGGTGTAATTGAGCATTAGTTGGTCCTAATTTCACTGCCAATTTACATATAATCAAAGCAATGTAAGAAAATTAAAATGATAAAATATGTAAACATAATACACCATATTATACATCAGTTGAAAACAGGTTGTTAGTTGTATCCCGAATAAGTTTATTAGTTTATTTTATTATAAAAAACTGTAGAATTTATTTTCTTCAATATTTTTTTTATCCTTGCTTATCGCAAACCAAAAAACAATTTCTATTATGGTTGGTCCCCGAAAATGTTATATTTTTTTCTTTTGTGTTCGTCTGCCATTCTAAGATCCTTGATACACACACTTTATTAGTTACAAAACTTAAATTAAACTTTTACAACAGGCTTTAAAATAACATAAATTTATTAAATACTTAGATGTCACCCTTTTTAACAGTTAATGCATTTTTTATAATATTGTGAGTCACTCTCTGAACACTTAATTAACAAATTTTTAATATATATCCAAGAAATTTAAAAATCTGTTTCAACACAGTGTATTATACAAAATGAATTCCTTTAATCATTGTCTCACAAGGAATAAACGATTATGTTTACTTCAGAGTTGAAAGTGTAATTTTATTTATATTTTTTTGAATACCTACTAAAAATTGATACATTTACGACATTCCTTCCGTTTCTGTGTATTTATTCTCTTCTTCGTGTAATAATTAAGTGCATTAGACTTTAAATTAACGATTAAAGAACATTTACGTATTTCCCATGTTAAGTCATAAAAAACGGTTGTTTAAAACAATAATTAATTAGTATTAAATAATATTATGCCCATGTTTCAATAAAAATAAACGTATCTTATTATAATTTAAACAAAATTGATAGTAAATTGACTATTTCAAAAGTACAGTAGAATCGTCTCATACATAAGTCTAGTAAAAATATGTATTTGTTAATGAGACATTTTTAAGAGAAAAAAAAAGGTTAAGTCCAAATGGCGTATGAGTGTGACATGGAATTAAGAATAATAAAAAATAAGAACTGAAAAGAGGATTAAAGGGTAACGCGTAAGCAAAAAAGTGTGCTCTCGTAAAAGTATTGACACAGATAAAATATTTCAGAATGTATTTTATAGCTGAAAATTATCACGATCATATTGTATTATCGTTGAAAGAGAAGTTGAAGTACACATGTAAAACTCCAAATACAATTTAATAAAAAAAAACTCAAATACATCATACACGTAATTTCCTTAAAAAGCAACTCACTAGGTAACAGTTTGTAAATAGACGATGCTAAATTATTTATCGTAAAAAAATCAGAAAAATAATATACCATTCATCACACAAATATAATATCGAACACTTGTTTCAGCATCGGGATTCAATTGTCATAAACAATAAACTACAGTAAAATTATACAAGCTTATGCAGACATGTATTTATGACGGTGGGCGAAGTGTAGTAATTCGAACAGTAGGTAGATAGTTATTATATTATTTAACTTTTAGATCGGATTTGGTAACTGAAATAGCATCAGAAGGACGTTACATGGACATTTTTTATCTCCGTCTTACAAGTGCTTAATATAAGAAAATGTTAAGCTCAGCAGACCATGTTTAGCTCCGTTGGTTTAAAAATTAGAGTGAATTGACCTATTATAAAATTTAAAGGTAAAATTATTATCTAGGGCATCTCACAGGCTTAATTAATTGAAATATAATAAAATGCCTTTGAGATTCCATAGATAATTTTAACTTTAATTTTTATAAGGAGTCAACTCTTTCTAGTTTTTAAACCATCTGAGCTGTTAAGAGCGAAATTTACTTTGTTACGCACTTGTAAGACGGAGAAAACAAATGCCTATGTAAAGTCCTCCTGATGCTATTGAGTCACTTGAGTATATGATTGTCTCAATGTTATAATGCTAATACTCTATGAAATGATTAAAATTATGGGTTAAATATGAAGTATAA